TAGTGTCGAAAAGAGGCAATTTTTGGATGACTCCAACTTGGTATGGAATCCCTATTTGGTCAAGAAAGTCACACAGTTTTAATGGGATTGATCCCAATGCACCAATGACCACTAGAATCATCTTGACATTTCCTTCTTGCATTCCAAACAATCTTGCGATCTCAACTTTCAAGTCAGAGTAATGTGGGGGTGTTGTTGTTGTTAATAATAGAAGAAGAAGAAGAAGAAGAAGAAGAAGAAGAAGAAGAAGAAGAAGAAGAAGAAGAAGAAGAAATCGGAGTGTCCAGTTCGAATTCCAGTCGAGTTTGTTACATTCACTTACGCGTAAATTTAGGTAAGCTAATCCATCTCTCTTCTCCGCCCAATCTTTGGGTAAATAGGACAAACAGGATCACATTGCCCTGGTTGGCAACCAGTCTACAAGAAGGAAAACTCTGAATTCAAACCAGTCTGGAGAGGGTTGAGTTGAGTATCATCAAACTGTTTTGCCCAAGACACAACACGGTTGTCACGGCTGCAGTACATGTTGTAACTTTGCAAGCCTAAAGCCGGGACGCGTGTTCGGAGTCAATGTTATTTAGGGGTTGTTTTTTTATGATGAGCGCTTCTATTATTATTTTTTTTAGACTTTTTTTTTTTTTACAGTTGGGGGCATATATTATACTTAATTTGTGTTTTCCACGAATAAGTTGGGTATGAAATTTGGTAAGGTTTCATGCTGGTTTATGAGCCCTTGTAATGCGATGGTTGGAGGGTTTAGGTCAGCAGCCGTCATGATAAGCGAAGGGTGGTATATCTGACATAATTACTCATGCATTTGTTTATTATAATGTGCGTGTGTGTGTGTGTGTGTGTACACTTCCCCGTTTCTTTTTCATTTATTTATTTATTTGCTTTGTTTAGTAACTGTTAAGAATTCTTTTAATTCTAGAGAAGAAAAAAAACTAAAATTGTTGCTAGAAAGCTTTTCACTTCGCAGACTATATTTGCGAATTCGACCTTTACTGGCTGCTTCAACATCACACATGTGCCAGCTTTAGCTGAAAATATTTACCTATATTCTTTCTTTACTGTCGAATCCCTAACAATAGTTTGTGGGAGCAACGGAATATGATCCATCATCTATAACTACCATCTGATTATTACTTCATTCATTTTTATCATAAATTTAATTAGTTACTATTTTTATGTATCACACATTTTTGTACGTTTAAAAAACATAATTTCACTAACTAAAAGGATATACAATTTCTTTCAGTTAGTTAATCAACCGCCCAGAAAGTTAGTGTTAGTTCCCTAAATTCTCAGCGTCCTAGTCGATGATGTTTTTTATTTTTATCTACCAACATCATGTGACAATCACATCTGAGAAGTGGGAGGCGTGGATTTGAATTCGGATTATTTGGGGGAGAGTGTGTGTGTGTGTGTGTGTGTGTGTGTGTGTGTGTGTGTTTTAACATTTTAAATTAAAAATGAATTTATGTGCACAAATGTTTTTATTTTATTATTATTTATTTTTAAATTTAATTTTCAACAACTAACTTTATTTTCTTTCAATTATTAAAATTAAGACTTTCAAAAAGAAGAATTTAAAATTTCAATTTAAAATATTTATCATAGCCATATACAGCCATCATTTTTAAATAGTACGTAAAAATAAGTTTTTATTACGTCCAAAAAAATAAGTTTTCGTTAACATTCTTTTTCCATTGTAATGTAAAGTATTTGAAACTATGAAACATAAAAAAAAAACAATGAATTTAATTTTTTCCCACCAGTTTTGCTTTCCTTGTTTCTGAATAGGAAGTCATTAAAAAGGAAAAAAAATTGTCTGAAAATTTTCTCTACTTTCACCAGAAATAGTTATTTTTTTAAGCCTATACGTTTCCCTTCTTCTAACAGAAATATTTCTCGCTAGCCTAACTTTTCCTTTCTTTGTCTACTGCTCGAAACGAAAGCCCGCAATCCACACGCACGCTAGTTTGCGCATGAGCGTACACACACACACACACACACACACACACACACACACATATGTTCCCATCTTTAAAATTCATTTTTAACCAATTCTACTAAATAAGAAAATGACAAAAAAAAGACCTTCAAGATGAAAGCGTTTCATGAAATCGTTTTTTCCTTAAAGAGAAACTACATTATTTTTTTTTCTTTTTTAAATTATACAAAACAAAGTTTATGGTAAAAATACAACAATAACAAAAGAAAAATTCAAGGACAGTACTTACAAGATGGTGGTGTCTGGTGGTACACTGATTACCCTGTGCAATTGAAGAAACATACATTGTACTGTGGTCCGAAAACAGAGACATCGTTCAGGGCAAGCGGCTACACCGGACAAAAAGATGAGACCACTTAGAATCGATGCTAACACATAGATTAAATAGTTGATGCCAAATACCGCCATCGTTGCGAGACCCTCTTAAGAAAATGGTCTCTCTCAGCAGACGAGTGGCAGCTAAATCTTTCACTTAGCAGTTCACGTTTATATCTTTTTTCCCCACCCACTCGCTGTAGTTTTTCCTCTCCTATTCCCGCTTCTTTTTCTCTTTTGTAATTTTTTTTTTTGTCTTGTCGTCTGGTCGCCTATAGTATGTTGTTTTTCGTTTTTTTTTCATTTAGATTCGTGATTACAAGCAACAGGATCTAGGGAGCATTCTTCTTTAATGTGCCATTTCTCTTCAGGAAGTTTGCGAACATGGTTCTCCACAATTTCCTGTCCTTTGTAGATCTTAGTAAAAAATGTTGTTTTTGCTATCTCCCCTAAATCCTGTTCTGTCGACCATTTACACAAGTTCGTTAGGTAGGCTATGCTATATTTTCCTCTATGATCTTGCCTTCAATATATCTTGTGAGTGATAAATTTTCTAAGCCATCTTTCCTCATTATGTGCCCTAGAATACTTTCTTTTTCTAGTGTTAAGCATATATCCTTTTTTTCATTTTCTCTAAAATTTTATAGTTGCTCACATGTTTGGTCCATGGATTCTCAGCATCCTTCTGTAGAACCATATTTCTGTTGCTTCAAGTTTCTTCTTCATAAATTAGTTCATTGTCCAGCATTCACGGCCATAGTTCAGTACTCTTTTTATTGTTTCTAATGAAATTATTGTCATATTTTAAAACATAGTGACATAGACGGATTATGATTTTTGGGTCCCCTAGGCTAGCGAAATTATGGGCCTCCCACCAGACGGGGCCACCCTCTAATTCGCCAGCGCCCGTCTTGAATTGTTTTATTTTGATATATGTTAGAGATATTTTCAAATTCTTAAAAAAAAAAAACTGGAATAGCTATCTTTTGTTTGCCAATAAAATATTCTTTAGGAAATATTACCATTTTACTATTTCTTGCAAACCAAATCAGCGCATATCTCAACACAAGTGGAGCAAAAAAAGAAAAAGGAAGACTTTATAACTAGCATTATAACAAAACAATCAAAATAAATACGGGTTTGTCATATTGATATCATTTCAGATTATTAAACTATTTAATAGAAAATTAAAAATATTGCTTTATAAAAAATTTTAAAATTTAAACATTCTGCACTAAAATCAAAGATGGTAACTACTTGAAACAATAACACAAACTAAAACATTCCTTTCCTTGCTTTGCGTCTTGCAAGATCAAATAAATATGAGTTTGTCATATTGATATCATTTCAGTTTATCAAACTATTTAGAAGTTATAACATCTAGAAAATTAAAAGTATTGCTTTATAAAATCTTGTAGGGCCCTAGACTGCAAGCTATAATAACTTAAAGCAGTGCCTCTTAACCTGGGATCAGATAAAAATTAATATTTATATTCGCTATACAGTCTTTGTTCAAATCAACGGTTTCCCATTGAAAGAAATAAGAAAATGTATCTTGACACTGCTTGAAAAAAAGAAAACTCACCCAGCCACTACTTACAGTGCCGACCGCTAGGCATCTCTTGACTTGCTGTTGAGTCCGTGTTTACCATTTAAACATGTGCCATCATTCTCTGTACGACCGCTATCTTTTGCCACTATCAGAGCAAGTGATAATTCTCATTTTCCATGATTTATCATGGCTTGATTATCGCCTCACATACTGGTGAAGATTATTTGAACACAATTTCTCTCAAGCGTGATGTGCGTGTACAGGGTGCAGGACGGAGAAATGCACGTTCAAGGGTTGTGGAAAACCAGTCAGACTAATTTTAGGGGTCCATGATTAAAGGGACCCGTAACTCAAAAAAAGGTTAAGAACCACTGGTCAAAGGGTAATCCGACCCAAGCATGGTGAGCAGTGGTTTGCGCTTGTGAAGTGTTAATGTAAAATGCGGATAATATAAAGGTAAAAAAATTTTTTTTAAATAAATTATTCTATTCAAGAGAGAGATTATGAGTGCTTACTTAAAGGAAAATGTAATTAAAATATAGCAAACTGATTGTAAAATAACCACAACGGCAATGATAGTAGTAATTCTCAATTGCTTTATTCTCGCACCAATGAGATACAAAATATATATCTGGCCCCTGGCCAGTCAGCTGTTTATATAACACTGAACGAGGTATCTTATGCCTGCCTGTCTGTGGAAGTCCCCCATTATATAATGATACCTTCCATTTCTACTCTACATGCTCCCTCCCTCCTCTGACTACAGGACGGATTGACATGGTCAACTGAAGAATTTTTCCAGAGTATATGTGCAATTGTCCTCGCATTTGTGGGAATAGAGTTCGAGGTACCCGCCTGTTTCGACGTTGGCGTTGACTTGTGGCTGGTGTCGTCTGATATTGGTGTTCTCTAATATTATTTTGTATTGGGTCTGTTATGGGATCCGAATGTCGATGTTAAACGAACCCTGCAAACATTAAATTTAAGTAGTGACACAGGCCAAGGCAAGGATAACGACAACGAGAAGTTTAAATTAAATATGCCTAAATTTATTATTGGCAGAAAAATATAATCGAAGAATCCAGATGTTTTAAATACCCTGGGTGGATATGCTGGTAGTTAATCGTTGGTCTTAGATGCGTCGTCAGTTGTGCAACTTGTGTGGTGCCGAAGGTTGATAGACAGTTGGTGTATTGGGTTAGTACTAGCTGGCAGTCGTCGCCCAGGGCAGACGGTTGTTGGTAACAGAAGATGAAGACGAAACCGCTTAGGGGGTGTCGAAGGACAATAATGCATACAGCGAAGGTCAATAGACAGTCGGCGTGTTGAGTTGATATTAGCAGGCAGTCTTAGCCGAAGGTAGGCAGTTGAAACCACGGTGATCCGCGAGATGATGGACAGCAAGGAGTGAAACTTGGATCGCCGAGAGGATTGGTAGAAGACGTGGTCGGCTGAAGTCAGTTGGTCGTTGGTGATCGCTACTGGTCGCTGATGACCGTTGCTCCGGATAGTACTCAATCATTTTCTTCAAAAAATTGGTCAAGCGTTTCGTCCCAATAAAATTTTCGGTTCTTCGAGCGCCGTAGTTCCCGGAAGTAGGCCATCACCTCAGCTTACAAGATGCATAAGATTCACCAGGACTTGACGCCCGTGATATTTGTGGGCATAGAAAAGTGATGGATGGCCTCAGTCATTTTCTTCGTTGGTTTCACACCATCGATCGTTATTAAAAACCTGGCAAACCCCACCTCATTCTCTGCAAAATGGAATTTGTCAGACTTAAAAACAATTCCATTCTTCCCACAGTGGGTTGTATATTCCATTGTGTACCTGAACAAGAATCATCCCATAGGAGGCCATCGTAAATACAATGGTTTTTCGAACCATGTTCTTTGTAATATCGACGAACCGATGGGAAAAGCCGTCTTCAAACGCGCGAAATCACTTGGGAGCAGGAACATACCTGTACTGGCCCCATTCAGTGATAAATTTAGTGGCATGTTGTGCGACTGGAGAAAGCGGTATGCTGTGGTCACCCGTTCCATGTCTCCATAACTGTTTTCCTTGTCTGAGCCGGAACGATGGAGACCTGATTAAATAGGGACGTCGTGTGATGGATTTCCCTCATAGAGGCAATGTTCAGTTCTTGTAAGTCTACCGTGCGTCTGGGTAGCCTTCTTTGAGCACCAGGTTTCTTATTCGGCGAAGAACGGGTACATTATTTCATCGGAGTTGTCGAAGCGCATATCATTTAGCAACCGTGCAGCTGGTTTGTCCGTCATTTCGAAGCTGACGATTCGGTCGAACTTTTGCTAAGGTGTTGTGAGGTTGGCAGGCTCAATTAAAACTGGACTTCGGTGTTCCTTATTGGCGAGTCCCGCAACATCTGCCCAGCTATTATGTCGCATGACTAGTTGACTTGCTGATTGCAGCCTTCCGTGTTGAGACAATCAACTGTGAATGAGCAAATTTTGGCTTGTGCTAGTAGCATTGTTAAAAAAAAATGAGTGATTGACTCACCTTCCGCCTGAGATGTGGAATGGAAGGTCTGCCGGAAATTCTTTGTGCAAATCCTTTACCGCAACGAATCGGATGTGTGACAAAAGCATTTCTTCCGTAGTAGAATTTAATATTCCAATCCAAGGTCGAAAAGGAGCCTGTTGACTTCGGGTCGGTATGTCGCTCTCAATTCGTTGCGTATTTCGACTTGGTAAGTTTACACATCTCTTTACACAGAGTCCAAGCATCAAGGAATAATACCCAATCGTTGTCCGTTGGATTGGGTTCAATGACAGGACAGTCTGTTTTTTTATGTGTTAGACGTTTTCGTTTTGTTACCCCCCCCTCCCCGGAGCGTGACAGTTTCCCTTTGTAGCTCTATCATTTGTTGCATAGGTTGAGTAATCAAATCGATGGTTCCGCCTGGTGCAGATGCCATATCTTATTTTGTTAAGCTAGTTCAACGTATTCACCAGATCCTGTTCGCCGTGTAAAATAACCACAACGGCAATGGTAGTAGTAATTCTCAGTTACTTTATTCTCGTACCAACGAGATACAAAAAATATAACTGGTCCCTGACCACTCAGCTGTTTATATAACAGTTTCAGTTGCCATGAAAATATTTGTAGAAAAGACAGAGGAAAGCCACGTCACGTCGGTGAGAAAGTGACTGAAGTCGTGATGCCAAGTCAGGATCGATTACATTACAGATCCTTCTTTGGATTTTGTCAAGAATCTCGAGATGTACAGCAGGAGCACCAATCCAGATATGGCAACAGTATCCAATGCACGGGCTCATGATAGATTTATAATTGTACAAGATA